CCTCCCCCCCCTTTCCCCCTTGCCCTTCCTTCTCCCCGCCTTCCCTTCTAGGGGGCGCCAAGAATTCGGGCAGGGGGCCTGACGGGTTTGCTTTCCGCGCCCCCCCTTGCGTTTCTTCAGGTTGTTCATAAACTACCGACCGGTCCCCGGGGCCGCTTGCGGCTGTCAACCCGGATGACGAGGACGAGGACGAGGAGGGGATTGGGGGGGAGGGGCAGGGAAAGAGAGGTGCGGAACGAGTGGGACGGGATGGAGGAGGGGGACAGTTCTGGAGGCGTGGCGAGGTGTGTCGACTTCTCAGGCACAGTCCAGCGAAGCTGCACGTTTCGAGTGTTCCCGGCACGCTTTCCATCATCCGCCGGCTTCCAGCGGAATGCCACAACAGAACACGTAAGGTTGCGTCGAGTAGTGTGTTTCGATACGTTCTACAAATCTCACGCGCCACATTTACATATTCCGACATATATGTGTTCACGGTATTGTGTCTATTCCCTTGCGCATCTTCACGCCCCCGAATCGTCCGTATTGCCCCCACCCCACTGTCTTGGATCATATTTCCATTCCCATGTCATACTCTTATTTGAAAATAGCAAGCAGTGGACGAGGAGCACGAGGAGGAATGACGAATGACAGGGAGAATCCGAGGAGGGGGAGGAGAAGGAAGAGAAGAACATGGAGGAGGAGGAGGAGGAGGAGAAGACGGCAAAAGGGGTACCGGCAAGACAAAAGTCTGAAATAGAGCAGGCGCAAACGCAGCGGCAGAAGCTCAGATGCGCAGCCGAACGCGTTCTCGCAAAGTGCCAAGGCACGACGACGGCGTCACCATGTGTGTACCTCCGTGCGACCAGAAAGTTGAACGAGACTGAACGATCCCCCTGGTTGTTTTTTATTCATTGTTTTGCCGATCGACGCGGGTCCTCGCACCCCTCCCCCCCCCTGGGAGTAGATCTTGGCCGGTTTGGGCGCCCGTTTCGAACAGGTGGAGTCCCCCCTCATAGGACGGATTGCCGCAAACAGTCGCACTAAGCAAAGGTCCAGAGCCAGACCCCCCCCCTCCCCCCCCCCACCCTTCCGCCCAATGTCGAAATGCCGAATAAGAAAAAAACGCTCACATGTCACTTCGCGCAGCCTCACGTCAGATAGCGATCCCCGCCCAAGCGTGCCGACCCCAGCCTCCACTTGAACGAGGACGGGGCCCTGGAACACCCACGACGACCAGGCGGGTCGACTGGCGCGTGTAGGTTCTGTGCCCAGAGCCACCCCCGCCAATATGAAGGCCGCCATGTTTGCCCAGAGGGAGACCCGGTGGCACACATCCATGAGCCTCCTCTGTCGATCCCGTCGCCCCTGTTTGGCCGTGCACGGCCAGGCGGCGTCAGCCCTAAGACCACAGGACCCCGAGTGGGACGGGTAGGATATAGCTGTAACAACAGAGGAGAAAGACGAGGATAAAGTATTGACGTTGCGCGATTTCTCACCAGCCCATCGCCACAAATAAGGGGAGTTTGCAAGCATATGGCGGAACCGCCAGGCTGACGATTGGCGAATTTCTAGTTTGGGCCAACGAATAATCAATTGATCCGACTGTCGGGCCTTGCTGGGCCATCGAAGAGGAAGTTGGCTGCTTGAATTAGCGTTGCCTCTTGGAACCTTGTCGGGATGAAAGTGAGGCGTTGGAGCCGTCGTTGACCTCTTCAGGGCCCCTCTTGGCGCTCTCTTGGCTGATCTTGTGGCTTTCTTGAGGCCCCACAAGACTTTCGGACACGAAGCAGGGAGACGCCCACGAAACATAGAAACTCCGAACGTTGTCTCTCTGAGACGCATCCGTTGCAACTCGGAGCTGTCTCTGAGCGTGTATTGAGCGTGTTGAAAGCATGATGTTGATGGCAATGATGGCGATGGCGAGGACGAGGATGAGGATGAGGATGAGGATGAGGATGAGGATGAGGATGAGGGTGAGGGTGAGGGTGATGATGCTGATGATGCTGATGATGCTGATGCTGATGCTGATGCTGATGCTGATGATGATGATGACGATGACGATGATGATGATGATGATGATGATGATGATGATGATGATGATGATGCTGATGCTGATGCTGATGCTGATGCTGATGCCAATGCTGACTGATTCTGATGATGGCAAGATGGTGATGATGCTGGTTCCGATTTCACGGCGGGTTCGTTCTGCAGAACGCGTGCTCTGCAGCGGTCGCTCGATGATCGCTCATTCCTTTCGACCGAGGAGGAGGCGGCCGCTCGCGCAATGGATTTTGAAGGCGGCTTCTCCCTGGATCCCGCGCATCGGGACAGCCCTTGATTTTCTGGGGGGTTCGTCCCCGATCTCGGGGCCGCCGGTGCCCTCGATGTTAGCGAATACATGCGCTCGAAGGGAGCGGCGCGTTTCCGCCGGGCGCCCATCGCCCGATGCTGATCGCCTGTTCGCGCCCCCAACCTCTCGTCTACAGATCCCCTGGCGTCGTGCCCCCGTCTGGGGAAGCACATTCCCGCGCGCGGTCCGCGCGTGGCGCGGAGGGGCGTTGATGTCTGCCATGATCAATTTCAGCTCCCTGTCCAGCAACGGCGCTTTTTTCTTTTTCGGAACGCCGCCCACTCCCGCGGCCCACTCGGCCACGGACCTCGTCGCCTTCTTGCCGGGTGCGGTTCGGGATCGGGGGCGGGCCCGCCTTTGGGCTCGGGCGGCGCCGATGAGGCGGGACTGGGCGGTGGCGCGTGCGCGGGCCGCGATTTCTCGTCAGTTTTGCAGCATATCTGCAGCGATATTTCGTCAGTTTTGCGTTAGATAAGATGCCTCTCCGACCATCGGGCGGCGTCGGATCGCCGCGCGGATCCTGCATCGATGCTTTCACGCGCGCGGGCGCGGGCCCCGCCTTGGCGTCGGGAGTGGTTTTGGGCGCGCAGAGGCAGCTGCTGGAATCGCGCGGGGCCGTTTCCTGTCGGGAGACGCGTTCGGTCAGCGTCGCCGGCCAGGAGTTGGAGCGCTCCGCGGGCCGCTCCATCGCTGCGTCCTCTCTCGCCCCCGAGGTTCTGCGTCTGATGGAGACGGAGAAAGTTTTATGTTTTTCGCCCACGAGAGTCACGCTCGGCGGCCTCTCCGGTCCTCCGTTCCCCCGGAAGTTCGCTGGATTCGCGCCCTCCCCCCTCGCGGTCGAGACGGCCCTGGGCGGGGCATGGTTTCGGGTGCGACGCCCTGGCTCGGGGCCTTTGAGCGGGGCGCGCGCGCTGTGCCCGCCCTCTGAAGTTGCCGCGGTCGGTCGGGATCGCGGGCGAGCTCGTCTTCGAGATCATCCGAGCGTTTCGGACGCGCCGCAGTTCCAAGCCATGGGCCATGAGGGGGGGGGGCCTGTATCTCGGAGGCTTCGGAGGACGCCATCCTTGAGCTCGGGCCTTTGCGCGAGTTCGCCGAGGCCCCCGCGACGACCCTGGATCGCGATTGGGAGGTAGAGCGCGCTGGCCGCCAGAGGGGCGCCCCTGGATCTCAGGCGCTGCTGGGAGCTCGCGCTCAGACCTGGACCGCTCGCCATGCGGCCAGAGATTGCAGCGCCCGTGATTTTCGAGCGTTGCTGTTCGGAGATAACAAAGGCATGTGATTTGCGCCCGTTCGAAGGGTCGCTTCTCAACGCCCGCGATGAGTTTCCAGCGTCGCGCATCGGCTGCATTCTCAGCAGCAGTAGGGCTCAAGCGCGCGGACAGGCGGGCGCCTCTCTGAGCGGGGCTCCCTCGGCGCAGCCAGTCGCGCCCATCAGCCGCGACGCGGCGCGTCCGCCGCCGGCCCCTCGCCTGCAGCGCGGCCGCGGCTCGAGGCCCCTCGAGTTTGACGGCGAGGGCGATGCGGGCCAGGGCCCGCGCGGCACCCTGCCCGACCGGGGCCGGCGGGGCCGCGGCTGCAGGAGCGGCGGGGCCAGCGGGCTGAGCGGCCGCGGGGCCCGCCCGCGCACCCGCGCCGGCGGCGCGCCGCAGGCTGCCCGATTGGGCCGCTCTGCTGCGGTCGCTCGCAGCCCACCGCCGCTGCCGCGGGGAGTCGCGCTGGCCCTCCTCCGGGCGTTGCGACCCGCGTGTCCCGCGGGGGGTTCTGACAGTCGCGGTGGCGCTCGAGACCTACCCGCGGCCGGCCGAGCTTCCCATCCTGCTGGGGCTGCTGCGCGCACGCGGAGGAGCTGGGGGGGCCATCCAGGACCCTGGAGTTCGATCTCAGTGCGCTGCTCGACCTGGATCGCAATCGGCCTGTCGCTCCCGTGTCGCGCGCCTCGCAGGGTCTCGCGATCGTCAGGAGCGGCTGGTCCACGTCATTTCCAGAGATGCAGCGCGCCTTCGAGGACGTCGCGAAGCAGCTTGGGGCCTCCACGGCCGAGCCGACCTTGCGCGCCTTGCGGCGCGGGGGCGCCGGCACCGACCGCCTCGCGCAGGCGCGGTCGATCGTTGAATGGCAGCGAGAGTTGGCGGAGTTTCGACGCGTGGCGCGCCGCGGCAACCGCGCGCGGGTCCCCTTGAGGCTCGGGCCCAGATTGCAGAGCGCGCGGCGCGGGCTCTGGGCCCTTCGCCGAGCGCCGCGCCGGACTCTTGCGCGGCCGCGGCCGACAGGGCGCCCCATCTGCTGAGACTTGTCTTCGAGCTCGGGCGGCCAGGGGGCCGCTCTTTCCGCGCAGAACGTTGACGTGATCCGCGTTGACATTGCACATGGCCCCCGCTGTGATTTGCCTTGCGGCGATGTCTTTCGCACGCTGTTGGGCTGGATCAACTCTGGCCTGGTCCAGGGGTCGTAGCCGTGTCAATCCTTTGCGTTCGTTCGACGCGCTCCGCAGTGGTCCTGTCTTCTCCATCGACTGAGGAGTATCCAGCATCTTGGTGGGTTTCCTAATCTGGGCGATCGTGATTTGCAAATCGCTGGCGACGGTAATGTTCTCGCCCATCGTGGCGGGGTTCAGCTCAACGGTTGCCTTGAGCGGCGGCTGCCTTGTGGAAGAGAATGCAGCGTGGGCTTTTAGATTGTCTGTGCGTGGGCGGCCCGCTATGGCCGAGCATGACGCGTGTGCCATCTATGTGCTTGATTACTTCGCGCTTGGCACACCTTCAAGAGCTCGCGCAAGGTTGTACCCCATCCAAATTCGGTCAGTGCTGAATATAGTGGACGAGGTAAATGCATGTCCCTCGAGAAGCCCACTATTATTTGCACGGGTCGATTGGGGGGGGAGGATTCTACGCAAGACAGGAGCAGGCCTATCCTGAGGACTGATGCGTCGCACTATCCAAGGCTACTGCATGTTCCCTCTGCACCTGGCGCATTCACGCTCCGTGGCCCGTTCTCTCCTCTTTCGCCCCTCCTTCGTCTTCCATGCTGCAAGTAGACCTCCCGGGTAGGTTTTCCCGATAGCCGTTCTCGTCGACATAATTCGTGAAGCCAGTGTTCTACGCGGGGCTTTCTGGAAGCGGGCAGCTTCCGTTAAAAGTGAGTTTGTTCGATCTCCGCAAGCTGTGGTCTGGAGAAGAGCAGTCGGAGAAATGTTCGTGCCCCGTGGTAATGACTCGACCTCTTCATCGGTCTTTCGCCTTGTAGGCTTCTTGGTTCACCCAGGCCCCCCGTCCCAACAAACTGGGGCAGTTTGGTCTTAAAGTGCGCTTCGCTTTCGGTTTGAAGTGGGTCCGCCCGATACCCTCAAGCAGAAGCCAGGGAAAGAGCAATCGGAGCCATGATGATGATGATGATGAGGATGTTGGTGAGAATCACGGTGGTTGTGATGATAATGATGAGGATGACGATGTTGATGCGTATATTGTTGCAAGTGCTCAGGTTGCTGCTGATGCTGATGATGTTGCGGATGGTGATGATGATGATGATGATGATGATGATGATGATGATGATGATGATGATGATGATGATACTGATGATGGTGGTGATGGTGGTGATGGTGATGGTGATGGTGATGATGATGATGATGATGATGATGATGGCGACAGCGATGGTGATGTTGATGATGGCGATGATGATGGCGATAATGGTGATGACGATGATCGGGGAAAAGGGCGAGGAGGAAGAGGAGGAGGAAGGTGAACTCTCACTAGAGGTCATTGTGAGCCGTCTTCACACTGAAGTTTCCCTCCCCCGCCGGGCTACCCCAAGCTTCAGTGAGCCCCTCATCTGCCTCTGGGTGCCTATGTAGCCTCCGCTCACATCCCCTCCCCCCATCTCCCATGCCCGCCCCAGCACATGCTCGACCTCCTCCCTCGTCATCCTCCTCTTTTCTCCCATCCCATTATCCTCATATTCCTATGTTTTGTCCTTTCAGAATCGTCCCCAATACATGTCGGGCCTGTACGTTTTGACAACTGATTCGAGGGGGTCCAACCGTAGCGACGGGAAGACTCCCGTGAGTCCCACAGATACGTCCCAGGATCCATCCTCCCGAGGTTTTGATTCTGGGTTGATAAGTGCGTCGCCGCGGCCGGCCTCCGCGGGAGCCGAGGCTCCGCCGCGCCTCCCGCGTAGGAACGGCTTCCGGGCCGGTGGGCGCGTGTGTGTGTGTGTGTGGTTGATAAGTGCGTGTCCTGGGAACCAGCGCCAAGAATTTCAAACAAATCTTCGATCGTCGAGCCTCATCCCCCCCACCTCCCAATTAGCAAGGCCCTGTGCAACGCCACTGAGATCGCCCAGCCGCCCAGCACCCTCTACGGCGTCTATGCGGGAGGGCTCCCGCCGAACCTGCGCAGTTGCGAGTCCATTCCTTCGGCCTCGTAGAGGACAAGCAAGAGAGGAGGATCGACGACGACGACGACGACGACGACGACTATGACGACGACGCTGACGACAGAGAGAGTTGGGTCGAGGGTCACGCATTTGTTTGTGTTTTTGGCCGCCTGGGGCCTCTTGAGACATCCAGAAAACCTAACGGGCATCTGCGACCTCCTGGGGGCATACGAAAACCTTTGGACAAAGGCCTCCCCTCCATGATTCCTCCAGGTCCGTGGCGTGTTTGGGGACATCCGGGGCCTCGTGGGACGCCCGGGGCCAAAGCCAGGGTCCAGGGTGAAGGTCAGACGAAGCCAAGACGAGGATCAAGTCGGGTGAGGATAAATTAAGAATCTCTGAGATCCCGCGGCTCTGGAGGATGTCTCGGGCGTTGCAGCCTTCTCAGAGAGTTCCGGAATGCTTTCAGAGCTTTCTGGAACACTGGAACGGATTTATCCTCGTCTTAACCCCGTTCGAGAAGGGACCCGGATCACCGACGTCGTGAGTATCTCACACGAGCACAAGCACTTGTCCTTGGGGCCAGTCTTTCATCCAAAGTATGTGTTTGCAGTCTTGGAGCATGGGAAAGGCCCTGGGAGGCCGATATTTGCCCAAAGCCTTCCGTCGTGATTTCTGGCATCGCGCGGGGAGGTCTGGGCAGAGGGGGAAGTGGAGGGAAGAGGGGGCCTGGGAAGGGGGGATGGAGCAGGGGAGGGGAGGTGGGAGTTGAGCGAGGGGAAGGGGGGGGGGGGGGG